CAAACAGAGTTGATGGGATTACTTCTCAATCCCAACTCCAATTATGTGCTAACTATGATTCCTAAGATATATTCTAAGTAAAATAAGTCTGGTTTCTTCCAGTGAGCTTCCGACGATCTCTCGGTAATGTTCCAACGGACTCCCGGCAAGCTCTTGGGCTTCACGACAATCTTCTTGGCGAGTTCCGATGAGCTTCTTTAGCAAGCTCCTGGACTTCTCGGTTGGTTCCGGCAGAACTTTTGAAGAACGTCCAGACTTCCGACGAACTCTCGAACTCCCAATGAAATCGCATTATTGACTCCGGAACTTCATTTTGCTTTATGTCTTGCTATCATAGTTAATCCTGCACACATAAAAATACACTTCGATCTGGACAATTATTACTAAGCATGAATCATGTCGTCCGACATGTCATTGATCCATCGATGCTTCATCCGATTCTTCAGCGCATCGTCCTCTCTTACGGCCTATTGCCCAATCGGCCAGTTGACCTCCGTAACTTCGATATCCTTGGCACAATATCCACTATTCTTGGCTCGATGCCCGAATCTATAGCCCAACGCCTTCTGTCGATACGTCGACCGATCCTCCGGCGCGACATCCAATTTTCTGACATGTTTCTCCAGCCAAACATTATTCTTCCTACTTTAAATATCTCTCCCTGGTCGAAGCATCTTGCGTCACTTAAAATGTAAATCAAATTATAAATACTATCAATTGGTTTCAATATCAAAATATGAGATTCAACAAATTTCAATGAAGTTAGGGGAGTTTGAAAGCTATTGGCGATAAACTATCGTAGAACTACACTTTGTCTATGATAACCCAATATTGTGGGGACTGATCAAGTGGATAAAAGTTGATTGCTAGAGGAGTGAACATAATTGGAGATAGTGAAAGCTCTATAACTTGTTGGTAGAAGCCACATAAGAAAGATCATGGTACAAGTCTATCGCAACCATATCAAACAGTAATGGAGATATTGATAGGAGGTAATGGAGATATTGCTAGGAGGCAACACAGTATTGTGAGTCAGAGTGTAATAGTTCTAGGCAATACAATATTATGCTAAATCCCAAGAGAGAGAGAGAGAGAGAGAGAGAGAGAGAGATAATTATCCAAAGGAATTGTTGGAATTGTTAGGAGCCAATTAGTTTTGCATATGAACATGTGGCAAGTTTGTTGCTGGGAGAGAAATGAATTTGATAGGGGTCCTACAAAACTACATTGAAGGCATAAAGTTTTCCCATGAAGATAATTTTATGAAATCATTGATCATTGCTCGATCTTGGAAAGGTTTATCGAACCATCTAAGCATTTCAATTACATATAGATTTGTGTTAATGAGACTATGAACCTAACTTATGTGTCAAGGTGACCAAGCATCCAAGATGACATGGAAGGCTAATATTGAGTCGACATTGATACGGATAATATTGATATATCGATGTATTGAACTAATAAGGTGTCTAACAAGATGTCTAATATGATGTGATATGTTGACACATTGTCAACATGTTAATTAATATAAAAATATGAGGAGGTATTTTAACATAATTTATACATAATATCAAATCTTGTGACATGTAATTTCAAATGAATAGTGTATAATAGTTACATATTCACATGTAGCATGTTTGTTGCTTGGTGTTGGGAGACCAATGAATTTAATAAAGGTTCCATTGTTACTTAAGTCAATAGGAGATTAAAAAGAGAGAGAGAGAGAGAGAGAGAGAGTGAGTGTGTGTGTGTGTTATTTACTCTCATTGTTGACGAGAGCCATAGAAACACACTTGAGACTTTCTTACAGAGAATTTAAAAAATTATCGGAGATAATTGGAGTGTGATCGGACAAAGGTAATATCATGAAATCATCTATCATTACTCAATCTCAAGAAAGATTATTGAATCATCGAGCATTACAACTACATAAACAAGTTTGTGTTGATAAGATGATAGAAACCCAACTTATGTGTCAAGATCGCTGAGCATCAAGACGACATGGAAGACAAACTAATATTGAGTTGACAAAATGATCAATATATATATATATATATATATATATATATATATATATATATATATATATATATATATATATATTACACCTAATTTCAGTCCATTGATTATCATATAACTGCTGCTCTAATTAATATTAATAGTTTAAA